TATCCGCACCGACCCGCGCTGCGAAGGCGCGCCGCTGGATCCCCCCAAAGGTGGGGGGGGGGCTTGGGCCCCCCCCCCTTTGCAGATCCGTCGTCGGGCGTCGTCGGGGAAGCCCCCCCCCCCCGCTTTCCTGGTCCGTCGTCGGGGGACCCCCCCCCCCCCTCCCTCCCTTCCCCGGTCCGTCGCCTGGGGCCCCCCCGCCCCTCCTCTCACCCCCCTGGCGCTGGAAAAGGGGGGGGGGGGCTCGACCCCCCACCCCATCCCTCCTTTCGCCACGGCGCCCCCTGTCTCTGGAACCCGACCCTTGCCGCCCCTGACGCTACCACCCCGACCGCCCGCAACCCCTCCCCAAACGCTAACCCTGGCCCCAAACAGCACTCAGTACTCTTTGTTCACTACTCACTACCCACTACTCACTACTGGCTACTCACTACTCACGTTTCACTACTCACTGCTCCCTGTTCACAACTCACTACTCACTACGCACTACTCACTACCCACTACCCACTACTCACTACTCACTACTCACCACTCACTACTCCCAACTCATTATTCACTACTCACTATTCACTACCCACTACTCAATACTCACTACTCACTAAGCGTTTCTCGCTACCCACGACTCACTACTCAATAATCAGTACTCACTCAAAAACCAGTGTCCACTGCGCACTACTGAGTACTCACAGTGCACTACTCAATACTCACTACTCACTCCCCAATACTCACAACCCTGCACCCACTACGCAATACTCACTATCGCTCCTTCCAACTCACTACTCACTTCCCACTACTCGCCAGTCACAACCCACTACCCCCTACGAACTACTCCCTACCCACTATTCACTAATCGTTAATCAGTACTCGACGCCCGCTAATCACTATCCACTACTCACTACCAGATACTCACAACTCACTACTCAGTACTCACTGCCCGCAACTCACTAATCACAAGCCGCTGCCCGCTACTCGCTACTCCCTACTCCTAACGCAGTACTCACTGCTCACTACTCACTACTCACTACCCGCTACCCCCTACTCGATACCCGATACGCAACATTCACTACCGACTACGCACAACTCACTACTCACGACTCACGACCCCCTACTCCCTACCCAATAATCACTAATCACTAGTCACAAAACACTACTCACAAATCAGCACTCACTACTCATTACCCAAGACTCACCACTCACTACTCACTACTCTCTACTCGCTACTCCCTACGCACTACCCACTACCCACTTCTCCCTTCTCTCTACTCACTACTCACTACTCCCTACTCGCCACTCACTACTCACTACTCGCTACTCCGTAGTGGCTACCCACTACTCCCTACGGGCTACTCACTACTGACTACTCCCTGACCACTACCCACTGCTGACAATGCCCTACTCGCTACTCACTATTCACTACTCGTTACTCCCTACTCGCTACTCACGACTCACTACCCACTCCCCGCTTCCCACTACTCACTACCCAATACTCACTACTCACAACTCACTACTCAGTCCTCGCTACTCGCTACTATCTACTCACTGCTCATTACTCACTACTCATTACTCACTACTGTCTACTCACTACTCACTACTCACTACCCCCAAACCAGGACACCCCGCCTCTGCGGGAGAGGCTCCTTCCACGGCCCCCTGGTCGGCGCCCAGGGGGGAGGGGGGGGGGGGTCTGCCCCCCCCCCCCCCCCTCCTTCTCAGCGGGCGAAAAGGGGAGAGCGGAGGGGGGGGTCGAAAATGCCCCTCCCCCCCATCTTGACGGGGAGGAGGGGGGGGGGAGGGTTCTGCGAGCACCCCTCCCCATATTTCAATTACAAAATGATCCAGAGGCGCGCGTTCCCAAACTGCATGGCATATCTGACCCCCCCTCCGATGTTAGCATTGATGCCCGCAGCAACAACAAAATAATATTTTCGAGCGCGCGCTTCGTCGTGTACTTTGCCCTAGGTCGTAAACAGACTCCGCATACCTGTCAGTATACCCGCCATTGGGAAATATGCCGTAACGGGCCTCATGTGGCAACGACGGGAAGGGATGTCCACATACGCAATGCGCTCGTTGATCGGATGATACTGTTTGGTGCGATGCTTCCAGCGCCTGTGAGCGATGATCGCCGCGCCTCGCGTTGGCTGTGAGTCCCCAAAGGCCATAAATATATGGCCATCTTGTGTGATCCAATGTTCCTCAAGGTATGTCCTCATAGTCTCATCGACCGTCACAAAATCCCACCGCATCTCATCAAGTTCAGATAATACTTCCAAAACCCTGCATTTACCTGTCACGCCCCGCGCGTTCTTCTAGAGAAGAACCAAATCGCAACCATTGTGCGCATCGTATTCCGATGTCGTGTCGCTGTGTTGCGTCGTACTTCTGCCGTCGCGGTCCTGAGTGGCAGCATCCTGCATGCCGGGCGAAGGCGCCTCGTCGTCACAACCTGGTGGCGGATCCTGAAGGCGGGCGCGAAACATCATGCCCAGAAAATCTCCATCGACTGTTCTGTATGCGCCCCTCCCTCCACCACAGAAGTCCGACGCGCCTGCCCCGGAGTGTTCTCGGGTCGGCAGTTGGGTAGGTAAGTGGTTGGGAGGATCGCTTCCCATTCGAAATACGAGTGGCCGTAATCGTGGAAGCATCCATCGGAAAACTATCCGGCAAAACCTCCACGGGTGAAACAATTGTTGGTGAAACCTCTGTTGATGCGGCAGTGCCCGTCGGATGCCCCGAACGACTTGTAGCGCGTGATCCCATGCTCCATAGAATGCCCCCTCCCACCGTCAATGTTGCAGAACTCTCACTGATACTATGTCTGTTAGCGCTTCCGGTTGGTAGATGTGGTCAGGCCTCGGAATCCTGGCCGCGACCCTTTCACCGGTTGTCCATGTGCTCCTCCACGCCCTTCTGGACCTCGAGGCCTTCATGGTGCATGTGCGTGCTGCCGTCTGGCGCAACTTCTGAATCCAGCTTCCCGTTCATCTTCACTTGTCCCCGATCCCAGAAAATCCTGATCCTGTGCTGGTTGCGCCCTTTCCCCCTTCACTTGAGTTTTATCTGTCCCAGCGTCGTATCCACGACCACGACGACGGCGACCACGACCACGACCACGACGACGACGACGACGGCGACCACGACGACGATGATGACGACGACGATGACGAAGAGGACGAAGAGGACGAGGACGAGGACGACGGACGGCGACGACGACGATGCACTGCGGATGTCCTTTGGGGCAGGCCCGCTGTGGTGGCTGTGCGGCTGTAAACGATGACGACGACAACGACGACGACAACGACGACCGACGACGACAACGACGATGACGACGACGGCGACGACGACGCACTGCGGATGCCGCATGGGGGCGGGGGGGGGTGTTGCGTAGCCGCCCGGTGTAGCCGAAGACGACGACGACGATGACGACGCCTGAGGAGGGTGGGAGAATCGTCTCGGATGTATACGAGCTGCGTCACGACTTCTATACGAAAGGCAATCGTTTTGAGGCTGTCATGCAGGGGGTACACGACACCCTCGGCGGCGCCCGCGACGACCCACTGGCGCGCGTGCTTCAACAAAATATTTCGCGCCCCGCGGGGTCTATTCATCAGCGCCAGGGTGGGCGGGGAGGGGGGGGATCAGTTGTTAATCACAAGCTGACATTGTGGCAACTCCACCTTCGCGCATGCCTCACGCGGATCGTTGCCCCTCATGGAGCTCCACCTACGGTCACAGGGGGCGCAACCCCAAGCGGGTCCGCGCACACTTCGGCAGACCTTTCACGATGATGTTGGACTCTCTATGAGGCTCCACCTGCAATCTCAGTGGGCGCGACCGCATGCGGGCCCGTGCCCATTTCGACCATTGGCAAGTTTCCCCGACCTCAATCCTTCTCACGGCACGCAGTCCATGAGTAGAGGGTAGAGGCCCATATACTGCGCTACATGCAGCTGGATATGGCTGGGGCTCTCGATATGCTAATTCGTGCTGAGTCGTTTTCTGAAGGTCCTGGGGCCTAAAGAGGGCCTTGGGATGCCCCAAAAGGCGACAAACCTCAGCACTCTCCTCCCGGGGGGCCCCTCCCTGGGGATCCCCGTCCAAACCGAGACCGGTCTCCCGGCGGGGGCATCCCGCTTCGGTCACACATGCACCCCGGCCTCCGATTCACACTCATCCTGGCGCTGCCTGGCGGCTGCCTGCCTGTGATGCACCCTCCTCCTTCCTCCTTCACTCATCCTCCCTCCTTGTGCTCCTCCTCCTCCTCCTCCTCCCACCTCCTCCTGCCTCCTCGTGCCTCATTTCCCCTTCTGAGTCATTCCCCGTCTTGCCTCCTCACGGAGTCCAAGGAGTGGTAATTTCGCACGAGTGAGGATTCTCAGACGGTTGTCTTTTAACGGTGTACTTCAAACAATGAAAACACATTCTTGCGGGGACCTATGAGCAGGGAACCTGCAGGGAGGTTTTCTTGCAACATCGTTGATATACTGGTCCTCCTCCTCCTCCTCCTTCTCCTCCCCCTCCTCACTGCTCCCCCCCGTCCTCGTCTTCCCTCAAATTAAGACGAAGCCGGGACGAAAAAAAAGCCCGGTGAGGATGAATCGGGAATCTCCGAGATCTGGCAGCTCTGGAGGATAGATCGGGCGCCGCGGCCTTCCCAGAACGTTCTGGAACGATCTCAGAGCGTTTTGGAACGCTCTGGAACGAATTCATCCTCCAGGGCTCGAGCCAAACAGTCTTTTTCGTTTTCGGTTTGTTTTCGCTTTCCTGTATTCTGTCTTCGTTCTGCCTTGGCTGCGAAACGAAATCACAACCAAAGCGGACCACGAAATCGCCAAAACACCGTTTAGCTCGAGCCCTGTCATCCCCGCCCCTAGCTCCGTCCAACCAATGCTTCGCCCTTCATCGCCCCCGTCGACCCTCTTGCCGCCGCGCCTCGCCGGCCGCTGGAGGGTGGCCGCTGGCCCGGCGCGCGCGCGTCCGGGGCCGTCCGAGGGCGCGGCACATCTCCCCGCGTGTGCACATGCCTCCGCGCGTGCGAGCGGCGCCGCGCGGCCAGCCACGGGCGGGCGACGGCGAAGGCGGGAAAACCTGGGGGAAGACCGGGGAAGCCTGCCCGAGCTTTGGGGAGCCGGGCGAAGCCGGGGGGGGGGGGCTAGGCTAGGCGGGGGGCAGACGACGCCCAAGAGGACACGGGCCTCTTCCGAAGGCAACCCGCATCCTCCCCTGCAGAAGGAGGAGAACACGGACCGCGACGGGCGGGGCACAAGGGTAACTACCCTTGACTGTGCTCGTCGACCTGCTGATCAGACACGACTGCAGGGGGGCGAGAGGGGGCAATCAGAGGGAGGCGACGACGGGGAGCGGGGGGCAGACGGGGCCCAGAGCCGAGCGGCGACGGCCTCGCCTCAACAGTGCTGCCAGTTCTGTAGCTGTCCCAAGGGTCCCTCAGGGAGGGTCGGTCCCTCCAGGGAGCTTCTGGTGCTGTGGGGGGAGGGGGCCAAGGAGGAGCCTGGGGAAGAGTCCGAAAGAGGAGCGCCCGTGCAGGAGCCTGGGGAAGACAACGGGGAGGAGCACGGGGAGGGGCAAGGGCAAAGGACGCAGGAGGGGGTGAGGGGTGGCAGGGGTGGGCGGGGGCGAGGGGGGAGAGGGTGTAGTTGGCACCAGGGCGGCGGCAGCTGACGGAACAGGCCCCGTGCGGCAGGAGGGCCAGCGCACGGTGTCGGGAACAGACGCGGGTAACACGCCCCCCGCCTCTCCAAAAAAATCAGTGCTGACTGCGGGCCCTCTTCCTCCCCCCTCCCCTCGCGTGTTTGTACGAGGTGAGAACTGCCAGCGTGTGGACGCCTTCGTCCATGGCGATGGCGTCGACTTGACATGCAGACCCGCCGGCTCCCTTGGGGGGCCGATAGGCTGCGAGGCGTAGGGGTTCCCAGTTCTCTGCAGCAGCTCCAGGTCTCAGTGTGATGACGACTCAAGTCCAGGCGTGAACCTCAGCTCGACCCCCCCTGACATACGATCAAAAAATCACGTTGCCCAAATTTGTTGAGGCCCGGGGGCCACGTAAACTAATCCAGGTTCGGGCTCCCGGAGCCACAGCCCCTGTAACATCACAGCGCGTTCGCGTTCACGATGCTGCGGGCTTGCGCCCCCGAGGCAGCAGTGCTTTGCAAATTGCAACAACGCGCTCGCGCCCCAAGGGCCACAATCCCTCCCCCAAAACAAACGCAAAACAACTGCACTCCCCTGCGACGAACGATGACACTGATACGCGCCAAATAAACCCGGAGCCGCTGAATGACCAGCCTGCAGTAGGCGAGCCCGTACGCGAAGTCTTGGCTTGCGCAGCAAAACGAAGCGATACTGTACTGAGGACGGGGCCGAGGATGAGAAGGGTGACGGGGCACCGTGGCTCCCCGAAACGACCGTCACGCACATCGCGCACCCCCCCTCTTGGAGGGGCGGGATGCGGGCGTTTCCTCGGCGCGGGCACGGCTGCACTCGAAGCCCGGAAATCACTCCGAGGACTAGCAATCTCACGGAACGAAATGGCGAAAGGACGATGAAACCAGGGACGGAAGGACAGGAGAGGGTGGGGAGAACAGGATGACAAGGGGGACGACAACAATCTCCCATCGGGCGTACTGAGGCAGAAGGGCGCTCCACGAGCTCAAATCGCTTAGCGGGCGAGAACATACAACGTGGCGCCGCGATTCGGCGGGGAAAGCCGAGAACGAGGAGGAGGAGCAGGAGAAACAACAAGTGGAGACGGGGGCCGACAAGGACGAATATAAAGAGGAGGAGGGGGAAGGAGGAAGAGGAGGCTGCGAGAACTCGCCTGGCAGATCCCTGCCACAGCCAGGCGTCAGTCCTGGCAGCGGATGGGGGCACGCTCCCGAGGTGCCTCGCCCCACCCCTCCCCGCACAGAAAGCTCTGCCCAAGAGAAAGTCTGGGTCAGAGAGCTCGCCCATAGAAGGCGTCGCATTCCCATGGGAGCAGGGAGCGGGGCGTCTCCTCGAGAGCGAGCCGCACCCGGTAAGGATGCCTCGCGCAGGCCAAAAGCGAGAGGCGGTGCGCCGCCGTCGGGTTGACAGGAGCTCTCCTGCAGGCTTCGACGAGCTTGCACCCCCTCTCGCTCGTAAAAACCCCGCAACGGGCGCAGCACGTGTAGTGGCCAGCTCGATGGAGCTCGCGCCCCAGGGCCTCGCCGCGCAGTGCGGCAGGAATCTCGATGTCCCCCCCCCCTTCCTCTGGGACGGCCCAACGACGGTCGACGCGACGCTTCCCCCCGCAAAGTCTGCGCGCCAGGGCGCGCATTGCGCGCGCGGAGCGAGCGCAGTGACAGCGCGCGGTGCAACGCCGAGCGCCCCGTGCTCTGAAGAGGGAGTGAGGAGGGGAGCCAGGAGGGAGTCTAGGGCGACGGGGTCGAGCACCTGTAGCGGCAAGTCTCCCAGTGGAGTCTCCGCGAGTCCCCGCCGTCGCCGTCGCCCCGGCCGCCGGCCCCAGCATCCCTTGGACCTCCGCCGCTCGAGAGCTCCAGGTAGCGCTCCTCCACTGGGGGGGCCGCCTGCAAATCTGCGCCGGCCTTGGCTTCTGCGCCAGCAAGCTGGTTCCCCTGAAAATCAAGGAAGGCGTCTTGCGACTCGTCGGCTGGGCCTCTGGAGCGGGCCCAGACCTTCGCGAAGGAAAAGGAACCGTGGTCTGCAAAGCTTTCCCCATAATAGGAACCACGCTCTAGTCCGCAAGCCCGCGTGAGGGCGAGAGGCGCGGCAGCGCCACTTCTAGCCTCTGCGCAGGCCTCTGATGACGGCGGCATTGCCGACGCCGACACAGAGAGGAGGAGAGGCGACATCAAAAACTTTCACGACGCCAAAAATCTCAGCCCTCAAAGCGGTGCCCAAGAAACGCGGACCAGGAAGTGAGCCGCGTATGGCCCTCGCAACCGAACCGTCATCATCCGAGAAGACGCGCCCCCGCCCGTGGCTCATGAACCCTGGCGGCCCCCGCCCCGAGCCGTCCGAATAGGCAAGGCCCTGACACAATGGGGGATTTATACGGGCCCGGCTCTTCCTGGGCGGTGACGAGATCGGAGGAAGGGTCCTCCAGGGGATGCTCGACGATGCCACGAGAGAAAACGGGCGACTCAGACCCGGAGGACTCGAATCGACGCACTACCCCCTGGAGGCCCAACTCGGCGGCCACGCAGCGGCGCATGGCGTGGTGCCTTGGACACTTTGCGAAACGATGGTGCTGACGGCCTATGTCCGAGGCGCGCTGCTGACAGGCGCGGTCATCCGTGCACCCCGCGCGCCATACTTTGACCTGAATCCAAACATCTCGGCCAAGTTAGAGGCCGTGCGCCGCCGGGGGGGGCGATGTCCCTCGGACCGAAGCAGCGCGCGAACGGTCTCCAAAAACGGCGCGGAGATTCCCAAACCTCGAACTTCGGCCCAGGGAGTAAGCTCCAGAAACTCGATCCTGGCAAAAAGCGAAGGCCTTTAACGCGGTGGGGGCCAACCGACGAAGACCCCAAAGCCCCCCGAGGTGGTCACAACGTGTGGCGTGGGAGGGCCAGCTCCACTCGAGCCGACGGAGCGCGGCTAGGACGGCTGAAGCGGGTCCCCCGACCCCGCGCCAAAGGCTCTGGCCTGGCTTGGCCTGGGCTGCCGCGACCGCGGCCCTTCGCCAGGCCGCCCGCATCAGCGCCTCATGGCGGCCCCCCCACGCCGCCTTGGCCCAGTGCAAGAGGGGGCGCGTGCAGGCGTCCACCAGGGTTCTGACCTCTTGAAGATCTACAGGCGGAAGGCGCGATCCTTCCCTACCGATTGGCCCCCCCAGCGCGCTGGCCATTAGAATGCGCGCCCGCTTCACTCGAGCAGGGTCCATTCCCAAGCAGGAAGAACCATGCACCACCGACGGCATGAAACCCAATTCGAGCAACGTTGTACGGACGAGCTCCCTGCTTGGCCAGGCTGGTGAATTTGGTGCGACGCCTGCGAGCGCCGACCAATCTCTCCGCGAACCTGGGCCTACCTTGCAGGCCCCCACCCCCCCGACGAGTCAACCACTAGTTGCGTGCTATGGCGTTGGATATGAAGGCCCAGCTGGCGAGCCCATCCCCGCGTTCGCGTCTTGAGAGATCGGGCGGGGCCCAGGATGCAACCTTTTCGTGGGGGGGGCGCCAGGCCTGGAGAGCGAAACGGGGATGCCCTTGGCCTCCATGGCCGTCACGCACTGAAACATGTCATCGGGGAGCTGCCGGGAGACTTCGGCTTCCTCGCCCGCGTCTTGGACGCCGAGGTCGCCCGCGAAAAACTTAAGGTGCAAAGGCGGGCTGGCGCTGGCCAAGGCGTCAGTGACGGACAGGGGCAAGTTCAAGGCAACGAGTTCCCCCCGCGCTCCCCGCCACCACCGCCGAATAGGCGTGAGTGGTGTGCGCCGAAACGATGCCCCTGAAGTTCGCCGCGCTCACAAGTATAACCCAAACTCAGCAGTTTCAGCAACTGGGGCGGGAAGCCGTGCTCGGGCGCCTCCGCCCACAGGATGTGCATGCTAGAGTGTTCGAAGGCTTTGCAGAGATCCAGGGCCGCCGTGCCCGACGTCTGGCCCGGGGGGGGCCCCTTCATCCCCTAGCAGCTGGTGCCGCATGGCGTCTTCGGAATCGCCCTCGGGGGCGCGAAATCGCAATCTCGTCGAATCGCACGCCCCCATATATATATATATATATATATATATATATATATAAAGAAAAAAAAAAAAAAAAAAAAAAAAAAAAAAAAAAAAAAAGCTCGAGCGCGCTCGCTCGACGAATCGGGCAGGGGAGGTGGGCGGGCCGATCGGCCGAGCGCACCCCTTTTGCATTGACGGGGGGAAGTAAAGCACAAAGCACAAGGCGGAGCTGGGTGGGCCAGCGCGCCGCGCGTGAGACCCGGGCCACGAAAGCGGCGAGAAAATCAATTCCCCCATCGCCCAAGAAAGACCACCATCGAGGGTGCCAATTGTCAACCCCCACCCCCGTGCGCTCAG